AATACCTAAGTGTTGCAATTTTGGCGTCCAAAGGTGGTGATTAGGGAGTGGTGAGCTCTAGGCATCAGTCTCATGATCTGCCAATGGGAGCAAATGTCACAAGGTGTTTCTTATGGCTCCAGCAGTTGGGATGTTGCCTCAGGTCTGCTGTATGGCTGTCAATAAGACTTTCACCCTAGGCTCAAGCCTGTCTCCCAAATCTCCCCCCTTTTTTTTCTTTTAAAAAGCCAATTATAGTTTAGTAAGGGAATTTGGGGTGGTCAGATGTTGAGATGGGCCAACAGCCAACTGAACTAGCCTTAACAAAATTAACAATGCAGGGCCCAAAAATCAGGAGAAGGGTTAACAAAGCAAGGGGACCAATCAAGGCAGACAGAAAGCATGGCACATCTGTAGTTCAGGGAACCATTGGCCAGGGGGTGTAGATTTTGATGTGGAATTTACCTCCATTTCATTGACTACACTGACAATCCACCAGGTAATGTTGACGGGTTGGTGAGAGTTAACAAGAGTTGCTAGTGCTTGAGAGTTAACAATACTGATAACATAAATAATAAGGAACATAGACAAAGGTTTTCCTCTAGATTGAGGGCTTAGCTAATGTCTCTGTTTGCGGAGTGAGATGTTTGAGGTCTCCCCAGGTTGGTGGCTTTTGTTGTCTGCAACGTTGGATCAGTCTCTCGGTGGTTGAGAGTTGTGCCGCTTCCTCCAGGGTCAGGGATGCCATCTCCAGGGTCAGTGGTTATGGAGGGAGGTTTTTCATCGCAGGCAATTCTGATGTTTTGAGCTGGGATCTAAATGGGGGCTAGAACATTATCTGGAAAGACACAACCATAGACTTGCCCTTGCGTTAACAACCTGTGTCAATAATATGATGGATATATTTGAGCTTGCCAAAAGGAGCATCCATTTGCCATATCTTATTTGGGCCAAGACCTCTAGGAAGGGTCCCAGCAGGTTGTAATGGCCCCAAAGGTAGAAGAGTGGCACAAGAAGAGCATGCATGGACCAAATGTTTATAGCTCTGAGCACGGAGCACGCAAAGCCGTACTTGTTCAAAGTAGCGAGGAGGTCCCTGTGCCTGGGCTTGTGGGGTTTTAAAATTGCCATGCCCTACCAAGGTGTCAAACTCAGTGTTTTGAACATTGGCATTTCTGTTGTGCTCTGCCTGTTGTTTGCATTTGTCCTGATAAGCAGCCTTCCATAAGAGAAAATCACCTCCCTGTAGACAGGCATGGGCAATATTCTCCCAGTCATAGGGGGTGTTGGCCGCATGGCTGATTGTATCTAATAGCTGACCAAACCAAAGGTAATGAATGCCATAGTCCCTGATTGACGGTAACCAGGAAAAACTGTAGAAAATTACCCATTGTATAGAGGGGCCTAGGTGGGAGGGGCTTCCGGTCCTCCTCTGGAAGGGAGGGGTAGATGGACTGGGGGGAACTTCCTTAGAGCTAGTGCAAGATGGCAGAAAGTAGCCATCGCCCCATAATGGCGGAGCAGAGGCTGCCTTAACTTCCCGTTTTTCATCAAAGCCAATACAAGATGGCAAAGGGTAGCCACTGCCCCATAATGGTGGGGCAGGGGTGATCTTGACTTCCTGTTTTTCATCAGGGGGACCCTCATATCCTATTCCTCATTTTTTACCTCATTAGCAGTCATCGTTTCCACATCATAAGAGAAATCAGTTAGTGTGGTTTTGACTGGAAACACCTGGGACAAGCCATCCCGTGCTTTATTTGTTTAATCTATGTTTTTTATTATGAGATTATTCTGCTCAGGGGCATTGGGGGGAACTCCCCGAAGCTAGGCCAGAATGGCAGTCACAATGGGGTAGAACAGCCCAGATAATGGAGACAAGAGCTAGTACTTCATCTAAAACTTTAGTTACATCCTTTTCTGTTACCCTAATTTGCCTACTCCTGAGGAGAGAAACCAGTGCAGCAGCGCAGGGGCTAGCAGCAGCTGGATGACTATTCCCCTTACCAGAGGTCACTCACCCTGCAAGACGTACCCAAAGGGACTCAGGAACCATTCAGGGAGAAGATCAGTGGAGACAGGAACGACACGCCAAACTGATGACTGCGAGCCAGAAGAAGAAGCACAGGAGAACAAAACCGGCGAGCACCCATGGAAGAATCACTGGCAAAGAGGACATCGGGAGCCCAAAGTGTTTACAGCCTCATGGGGTCAGGCTTTTAGAGCCCCACACTGGGCGCCAGCTGTGGTCACCGCCAGCGGCGGCTGCTCCTCCGTTCTCGTGGGTGCCGCTCCTTTGTTCTCACTGGCGTTGAGACTGCTCCTCCGCTCGCCCTGGGCTGAGGCCACTCTTCTGACTGCCCTGGGCTGAGGCTGCTCTTCTGCTCGCCTGGTGCTGAGGCAGCTCTTTTGCTTGCCCTGTGCTGCCTCCTGTCAGTGCTGCTTCTGCCTGGTCCTGGACCCCAGGGCTGGTGAGGAGACTGTGTCAGCAGAGCTGCATTCAGACACAGGAGACCAGGTTCAGTGACACAGGTCTGCTTTATTGCAGGAAGGCACAAGCTTATATAAGGGTAGTGGTCCAATCACAGCACAGCAAGTAGGATACCTTATTAGCATAAAAGTTTTAGTGTCCTATCACAGTACAGCAAGTAGGATACCTTATTAGCATAACAGACTTAGCATCCTATTAGCATAACAGACTTAACGCCCTATAACAGAATAGGGGGTACAATGCCTCATTAGCATACTGGGTTTCAGATTACAGACCAGGATTCCTGGACCCTGACAGTTGCAGTATCACCCTAGACTCAAGCCTATCTCCCACGTCAGTG